TGGCTGCTGGTCTCCCCTGCGCAGCGGCCCCGACACCCGCGCAGCCAGATGCCGTCCTGCGTCGTGCCCAGCTTCGGCCCCTGCCAGCCCCCAGACCAGTCAGCAGCGGCCGCTACACGGCCATTCCCTCCCTACCTATGATGGCGGTGGTGGGGACATCCAGCTTGGCATCCACAGAGCCGGAGCCGGGGAGGAAGACAAAGATGCGGTGCGGGGTGGTGCGGCGGCCCAGCCCCGCCACCGGCCGCCTCATGGCAACCTTGTCCTCCAGCTGGCGGGCAGAGGTGTGGCCCAGGCGGTGGTGGCCCCCTCCGCTCATGCCCAGCATCATGCCGTACGCTTGCTGCAGGCGGCGGCGGGGGTGGGGCAGGGCGTGTGGGCAGGTGCAAGGGGCATGGCCGCGAGCGCGCAGGCCGGAAGCTTCTCGCCAAGCTGCAGGTGGCTGCCTGTGTGCCAGGGTGGCCTCCCGCTCCTGCCATCCCCCGCCAGCAGCACTCACCCAGCGGCCCATCTTGACGGGGGCGCTGCCGGCGCTGCCGCCCTGCGGCGTGTAGCTCGGCGCCTTGCTCGAGGTGCCGCCGCTCTTGCCGCCGCCGACGCTGCTCGTCCCACCTTTGCCTCCGCCCTTCATCAGCCGCCTCCGCTGGCTCCCAGCGTCTGCAGGCCGCCGCAGGGGGAGTCGGCAAGCAGCGCGTGGCGCAAGCACCGCCCAGGAGGCTGGTGGACCTGGCTGCTAGCGGGCGGCGCCAGCTCCAGGCGGGCGGGGCGGGCTGGAGGGCAATGCAGGGCAAGCACCATGCGTCACCCCAATCCCAGTATGCGCGCCCTTCCGCACCCCCGAATCACCCAATCAATCCCCCGGCCTGCTGCCAGCGCCGAGCGCCCACCTGACTCCGCCCACCCGACCGCCTCCTCGGCCTCCTCGCTGTCCGGCTCGGCGCCCACCGCCCGGAACACGCTGTCTGCCAGCTCAGCAGCCTGCCCCTCCGCCTCGGTGCCATTGACCAGCGCCACGTTGCGCGGCGCGGCGGCGGCGCCCAGCTTGGTCGACTTGAGCGCCAACACCGCGTTGAGGGAGTTGGAGGAGGAGCAAAAAGGCCTGCGTGGTTAGGGGGAGGTGAGGGTGTGCAGTGGGGCGGTTGGGTGAAGGTGTGGGTGTGTGAGCGGGCGGGTAGCGGGACGGGTGGGCAACGATGGTGGCGCTTGTGTGTCATGCACTGGCGCTTGAAAGCGGTGCATGCAATGCACGGCATGCACCGCCAAGGGAGAGCCAAGGCATGGGGCCGGCGCTTCCCACCAGCCCCTTGGGATAAATGCGCGGCAGGCTGCCCGGCTGCCTCCTCACCAGCCGACCACGTCCAGCAGGGTCTTCACGTTGCCTGCCAGCACCTCAACCGTCTCCTCGCCAGCGGTGAAGTTGGTGGCCGCTGGGAAGAGCAGCACCTGCGGGCAGCGGGCACCAGGGGGGCGGCGGGGAGCGGCGGCGCGGCGGCAGGCGTCGCGGGGGCGGTGGGAGCGGGGGGTGCGGCAGGCGAGGGTGAAGCACCAGCGGGTTGCAGCTGGCGCCCGCTTCGAGCCAACTCGGCGAGCTGGCTTGCAGGCGGCACCGTGTGGTGCCGGCTGCGCTGCCAGCTGCGCCGCCTGCTTGCCTTGAAAGTCGGGAGGGCTGCCCAGGGCAAAGGTGGAGGCGGGGGAGCAGGGAGGGGTGCTGACGTCGGCCTTGAACGGCGCGGTGAAGACGGCGGCGGTGACGTTGGCCAGGGGAGGGTCGGTCACCTCGGAGAGGTCCTCCTCGCTGACCTGCCACGACCCCTGCCGCGCAGCAGCGGGCAACAACACAAGGGTCGGAAACGGCGAGGAGGCAGCAGGCGAGCGAGTGCGAGGGGGCGCTGGCCGCTGTTGCCGCCGCCCGACGGGCCCCGCTGGTACCGACCAGGGACAGGTGCAGCACGTCGGCGGCGCTGCGCTGGTCGACCTCCTCGCCACCCGGGGTGGCCTCGTAGAGCCGGTGGAGGGCGGTGGTCAGGAATTGGCCGCCGCACGCGTCGCTGCCGTCAGCGCACGCGGCGGCGGTGGAGTGGACGGTAATCTTGGGCCTGGAGGGGTTGAGCACCAGCTTGATGCCCTGCGGGGTGCCAGGCGGGGAGGTGGAGTTGGCACCACTCTCTGGAGATGGGACTGGGGTGGGCCACCAGCGGCACCCCGCACGGCGGCGGCGGCGGCGCACCCCGGCTTCCGACACGACGCCTTCCAGCTCCGCTGCCCCATCGTCGCTGTCCCAGTCGCCCTCTACTTGGGCGAGGACTCTGGGGGCCAGCGCAAGGAGAAAGAGGGCGAGGACGAAGCGCCTCATCGTGGGCTGACCAACGGAAAAGAGCCTCCGCAAGGGGAACGGGCGTCTGCGAAGGGTTGAGATGGATGGAGGGCGATGCGGAGGCAGGAAATCCGGCCCCCACGCGGGCTGGGAAGTTGGTGGGAAGGGTTGCCCTCTGTTGCCCGGTCTTGCCCAGCCTGCCTCTCGCTGTGCGGTTCACGGCTGCTAGCTGTTCTCTTCGCTGCAGAGGTGCGATGCCCATCTTACGTCCCCCCTGCAATGGCCGCTGACCCACACTTTCCAAAAGGGTCCCAACAGGCGGCGGCGGCAACGCTCCTCAGCGGCACCTCGATTTGGCGTTACAGGGGCAGCCTTCTCGTGCATGAGCCGACAGCCGGGCGCCGAGCGTGCATCCATGCATTGCCGGGCGCAAAAGAGAAGAAGAATGAAAAGAAATGGCGGCGAGCCTGGCCTTGGCGGGCTGGGACGTTTCAGCGCGCAGTCAGGGGTTGGAAAACACAGGTGCAATACAAAATGGTGTTTGTGAGTGAGATCAGAGAGGTAAACAGGGACGGGGTAAAACGAACGCCACTTGAGCAAACCGGTGGTATTGTGTAGAGAGGGACAAAAGAGAGGATTGGTGAAGAGGATTCATGGAGTTGTGGAATTTATTCCTTAGGTGTGCTGGCCGAGTTCAATGGCCAACACAGGCAGCAGAGGCTCGGCACCTGCCAACAGCTCGCCCGACAAGCCAATCGCCGGGCGGAGCAGGGGGCCAGGCACGCGCTGCCGCCGCATCCTGGTCGCCAGCAGCCAGCCAGCCGCTGGATCACGCCCGCTTGCGCTTGGTGTGGGGGCTGCCCATGCTGCCTGTGCTCACCTCCATGCCCTGCTCGCCGCTGCCACCGCCGGCGCTGCCAAAGGGGCTGATGGTGCGGCGGTGGTGGCGGGCGCTGGTGGCACCGCCACCCAGCATGGAGGGCCCCGAGTGGCGGCTGTGGGAGCGCAGGTGGTGGCCGCCTGCGGCACACAACACCGATGCGAGGGGCTCAGCAGCAGGGCCATGACACAGGCGAGCCTCGCAGGCAGCCAAGCAGGCCGGCCGGCGAGAGGGAGCGGCATGGCATGGCGGCGGCGGCCGCGCTTGCCTGGGATCTCCTCGCTGTCTGTCGGCCCTGGGCGGCGGCCGGTGCTGGCGGCGGGGGCGATGCGGATTGACTGCGTGCCTGTAGTGATAGTGAGGCCCCCCATGCTGCCGTTGTTCCCCAGCGGAACACCTGAGAACTGGGCGCCGCTGCTCACCACGTTGCCCGGCAGCTGGAGGCCGGGGCTGGGGGGCGAGAGCGTGGCGTGGCCGCCGTACAGCGCACCCTGCCCGCCGCCCTGCTGCTCCGCCAGCTGCAGCTGCAGCAGCTGCTGGTGGTTCAGCTGCTGCTGCTGGTACAGCTGCTGCTGCTGCTGCGGGTGCGGGTGGGGCATGGGCGGGAAGTCAACGTGCTGCGGGGGCGGCAGGTGCTGCGCCGCCATCAGCTGAGCTAGGTGCGCGTGGTTGGCGCCGTCACCGGCGCCGCCCCCCAGCAGCTGCGCCAGCCCGCCGGTGCCCGCGTGAAGCGCGGCGTGCGGGAACTGCTGCATCACGCTCAGCCGCCCCGACAGCTGCTGCTGCTGCTGCTGAGCGGCCACAGCGTCCAGCGGCGACGAGCGCCCGCTGCCGGGCCCTACGTGCTGCTGCTGCTGCTGGAAGTGGTGGGGCAGCTGCTGGTGCTGCGCGTGCAGGCTGCCGCCATCGCCCAGCCCCAGCTGCTGCATGCCCGCCAGCGCGGAGGGGGCGCTCATGTGGGAGGCGGCGGCGCCGTGGGAACCGTGGCTCAGGGGAAGGCTGCCCGCATTCCCAAACCCAAAGCCCATGCTGCCGCCGGCCTGCATGGCCGACGCATCGTGGTACTGCTGCTGCTGCTGGCGGTATAGCTGCTGCTGCTGCTGCCGCGACAGCAGCTGGGAGCCAAAGCCCGCGCCAGAGGTGGCCGGCAGCAGGCTGCCAAAGCCGGCGTCGAGGCCGTGCGGCGCGTGCTGCTGCGCCTGCTGCGGCAACGTCAGGCTGGCAAAGGGCGACTGGTGGTGCGCGAAGGGGCTGCCCTGGAGCTGCTGGTGCCTGTGGTGGTGGTGGTGCTGCTGCTGCTGCATTGCCAGCGGCGCGGGCGAGGGGCTCTTGAACAGGGCTGCGGCGGCGCTTCCGCCGCCCGACACGCCGCCGCCGCCGCCCGCGCTGCCTCCTCCTCCTCCGCCGCCGCTGTCGTTGCTGCTGGCCTCCTGATGCGCCGCAGCCTGCTGGAAAGGCGTGCGCCGTGGGCCGGTGCTGGTGGCGGCGGAGCGCGGGCTGGTGAGGGCGCCGTGCACACTGGGCGCGCTGACGCCCACGCCCGACCCAGGGTCGTGCAGCGCCGCCGCGCCGCCGCGGAGGTATTGCTGCGGCTGGGGCCCCACGGTGGCCGCCTGCGGGCCCTGCGGCGCCGCGCCGGCGGTGGGCGAGGGGCCGTGGGCGCCGCCGCCGCCGCCGCCGCGGCCCGCGGCGTGCTGGCCGCCGCCCGACGCGTTGTCCGCATGGGCCGAGATGTGTGCCAGGAAGGCTTCGGCGCTGGAGACGTGCGCAGCGTTGTGCGCCGCCGCGCGCGCCACCTGCACGCGCGCGGTGCCGCCAAAGTGAGGGGCGGCAGGTGCTGCGCGGCTGGCTGGCGGCCCCCAGGCAGCAGGCCCATGCCCCGGCAGCCCAGCGGCACGTCGGCGGCCTGCTAGCACCGGCACCAGCGCATGCGCCCTGCGCAACCAAGCCGCAAACCCACCGCGCGCTGCTGCTGCATCAGCACTTCAGAGGCCTCTGAGGGCAGCAGGGCGTCCAGGTTACCGCTGGGCTTGATCTCAGGAACCTCCCAGTCAATCTCGGGCAGAAGCGTGGCTGCGCGGCGGGTGGGGCGGGCCAACGGTGCTCAGCCAAACCCCCGATCAAACACATCAGTCGAGCACCATGCGGGCAGGCAGGCAACTGGAGCACAGCTGTGGCACAGCTGTGGGGGCAGCCCAGAGCAGCGCGGGCCGCCATGGAGGGCAGCAGCTGGGGAGGTGGTGGGCCACAGGCGAGCGCCGGCGGGTGCGCGTGAAGTTGGCTGCCCCGTGCCAGCGCTGGCAGCGCGCCGGCAGGCAGCTCCCTCGGCGCACCGTCCCCCCCCCCTGGCCCCTCCCTCCCTTCCATGGACGCGGCCACCCACCAGAGCCGAAGCGCGCCGCGCCGGGGGGGCCGGAAACGAGCTTGGACAGACAGTCAAAGCGATCCACGCTGCCCACGCTGGGCAGCTCCCCGGCCTCCTCCCTCTCGCTGCCTGCCGCCGACCGCGGCTCCGCCTTGACCTGCGCCGCGCGGCCCGCCTCCTGAAGCTCCGCCGCGGCAAACGGCGAGGCCGCGCCGCGGGGCGCGGCGCCGACCGCGGCGGCGCCTCCGGGCGCCGCCGCCACCGCCGCCGCTGTCGCGGAGCCGGCGCCGCCGCCGCGCGCCGGCGGCTTGCGTGAGCGCCACGACTCCACCGCCCGCGCCACCTTGGCGCTCATGTTCATCAGCTGAGCCATCTCTGCGCTGGTCACGCTCCCTTTGGTTTCCTGCAGTACGTGTGGCAGGTACGGCGGGGGCGGCGCAGCTGGTGGGTCGGCACGCGGGGAGGTGGCGGGCCAGCGGGCGTGGCCGCCGTGGTGCGGTGGAGCTGCGCACGCGCAGAGCACGCACAGCGCGCATGAGCGCCACGGCTGGGGCGCGGGCGGGCTGGGAGCGCGCGCGGAGCGGTGCTGCCCTGCGGCCCCCACCTCGAGCATGGTGAGCGCCGAGTCAATGAGGTTCATCTTTGGGTGCAGGCTGGCGGCGCGGTGCGGCGCCAGGTTCATGGTGTTGAGCAGCGCGCCGCGCAGGTCAACCAGGTCGCCGTAAAACTGCTTGCGCAGGCTGGACTGCACCGCCGCGTAGCTGGAGGCCAGGCTGGCAGAGGCGGCGGCGGCGGCCGCCGCCGCGGCCATCATCCCGCCGGCGCCGACCTGCAGGCAGGCGCGGTTCGGGGTGGTGGAGTTGGTGCGTGGGCAGGCTGGCGGCGGCGAGCACCAACTGTCAGGGCGGCAGGGGAGCGTGCGGCGAAGCTGGGTGCACGGCGGCGCGAGGCGGCCGATTTGGGCTGCCGCCCGGCCCGCGGCTGTGTGACCCTTCGAGGCGGCGCTCCCAGGCACCCCCAGGCGCCGGTCTGGCAGCAATTGGGGGGGTGGGCGGCCTCTGGGTTGCCCCGGTGCTTATGGTGACTGCCCTTGCGGCACTCCCAAACCCCACCGAGGCCTGCCAGACGCTCAGGACCTCTGCTGAGGCTGCCTGGCAGTGTGTGGGTAGTGTGACGGGCAGCGCCAAAGGGTGAACAGGGTGCAGGGGCCCATGGGGGCAGCAGGAATGGGGAAGAGACACTCTGTTGCGACACTCGCCTGCGCGACTCCAGGGCCTAGGGCCCCGTTATTAAGGTGCAGCAGCAGGTTTGGCGGTCCTCCGTCTCCAGCCACGGCTCGGGGCAAGGAGAGCAAAGACAGACAGAGCAGCGCGGTGCACGGCTTCCCTTCAGATGGGGGGCAGAGGCGATGGATTGTGGCTGCCGACGGTCGGAGGTGGCGAGGCCCATCCCCTGCTGCGCTGCTGAGCTTGGCCATGGAGCCACAGGCCCTGGCCAGTGGCCCCGCCCAGCCTTGTGCACGGCTTACACTCTTCAGCAAGGGCGGGCCACGATTCGCAGGGCGAGGGAGGTCAGCCGCGGGTTCCAGGTCCATATGATATTTGTGCCCGCCGCCCGCCCTTAGGGTGCGCCCGTTTGCACCGCCGGCCTGCCGCAGCCCCTGCCGCCTGCTAACCAATCCCCTCAGTCCAGCCCGTCGCTGGGGTTGCGCGGCAGGAAGGCAGGATTCTCCCGCCAGCTGGCCTCGCCACCCAGCGACGCCGCCGACGGCGCGCGGCTCGGGCGTCCGCCGCCGCCGCCACCGGCCGCCGCCGCGCCCAGCGCGGTGGCCAGCTGCAGCACCGCGTCGGCCTCCGCCTCGTCCTCCACCGGGTTGCCGCGCCCCGGCAGCTGCGCGCCCTCGGTGTCGCTGATCGTGGCACGGAACGGGCGGCCCTGCAGCGGCTCACACAGGGAGGGCGGGTGGGCCGGGCGGCAGCCGCCGGTGAGAACAGCCGCTGCAGCACCACCTGCTCCCCACAGCCACGGCACGACATGCACAGCATGCCAAGCCAGACCCTCCCTCCACCCGCCAGCAATTGTGGCAGCGCCACCCAATCCCGCGCTGCAGTCAAAGGCCTGCCTTGAAGGTGTAGTACACAAGCAGCAGCTTGGTGGCGGTGGGGGCGGGGTCGCAGAACCCCATCAGCCCGCTCTTGGGGTAGCCTGCACACAACCAAGGGCGCGGAGGTAGGGAGCAGAGATCAAGGACGGCCCAACCGGGCGAGCACAGGCAGCTGGGGGGCAGCCGGCAGCGCACAAGGCACGGCAGCAAAGCGGCGGCAGCCGCGCAGGCAGCACAGGCAGGGGAGCGGCTCCGGGCCCTGGCCGCGGCCGCTTGCCGCGCCGCTCACCTCTGTGGAAGGCCACCTTGCTGCTCTCAACCAGATACTGTACCGCCACAGTCACATCCGCAACGGCGGGCGGCACCTCATCCCCCTGCTCCTTGCCGCCGCCGCCGCCTGCTGCTTGCGCCTGCTCCGCCTCCTGCTGCTGCTGCTGCTGCGCCTGCTCCGGCGCCGCGCCCTCGCCCCCGCCACCCGCCTGCGCCGGCTGCGCCGGGCTCGCCGCCTGCGGCTGCTGCGCCTCCTGCTGCGCCTGCTGCTCCGCCGCGGCCTGCCCAGCCGCGGCCTGCGCCTGCGCCTGCTCCGCCGCCGCGGCCTGTGCGCGCAGCAGCCGCTGCGGCGCCTGCTTGGCCGCCTCCACCACCGCCGCCTCCTCGCCGTACAGTGCCAGTACCACCACCAGCCCGCCGTGCCGCTGCTCGCGGTCCAGGCGGCGCCGCGCCACTGGCAGCATCAGCTCGGCTGCCGACTGGGACAGCGCCAGCGCGCGCCGAATCACCTCGGCCTGCCGCCCCCGCTCCGCGCGGGTCCTGCGCCGCCATTGCCACAACATCGCGGGGCTGGGTGGGGCTAGCTGGCACCCCACTGAGTGCAGCAGGTGCAGGGCAGCACACCAGGCACGCACACCCCTGGCTCGTGTGTCGACCCTTGCTGCCGCCCTGGCTGGCCCCCGCAGCCGGGCCCCATCCCTGGGCGCCCACCCCACCGCAGCGCTGCACAAAACAGGCACACAAGGGACCCCTGCCCACCTGCGCGCCTCCACGCCCCGCCGCAGCGGCCCCACCACCAGGTCTCGCCCAGCCAGGTAGAGCAGGGGCGGCAGCAGGTAGGCGCCCGCCAGGGTGGGCCAGTCGAGCGGGTTGCTGGACAGCAGCACCGGGAACTCAAACAGGTGTCCCGCACAGTTGTACCGCAGCTTCAGCGTGATGCCCTGCAGCAGTACCATGGCCACACTCGCACGCACGTGGCACAAGGGAAGCGCAGGCAGGCAGTCGCCACAGAGCTGGGCCAGCAGCATGCCGAGGCGCAGGCGCGGCGGCGCCGCGCAGCACGGGGGAGCGCGGAGGCAGCGGCAGCGGCGGCACGACGGGCCCCGGCCCCGCACCCCGGCGCCGGGCAGCCAGCGCACCTGCAGCCCCACGCTGACCGCGCATCCCGCGGTGGCGACCTCGGAGAAGCGCCGCGTGCCTCCCACATCAAGCTCCACGCCGGCGGTGGTCAGCTTGAGTCCCAGGCGCGCGGTGGCTGCGGACGACAGCTGGCGCACCACGCGGCCTACCAGCCCCGTCACCGCCCCCACCTCCACCCTGCCCGACAGCAGCAGCTTCTCGGTGCGCCGCGTCAGGCCCAGTCCCATGCCCGCCGCCTCCACCGGCCCCACCACCCAGCTGTACTCGCCGCTGACGGTGGCGGTCAGCTGGCGCGTGGTCACAAACTGCGCCGGCAAGGGGGCCGGCGTGGTGAGGCGTGTGGCAGCGCTGGGCAATGCAGCGGGGCAAGTGCCCAGCAGCTGTGGCGGCACATGTGGCGCACCCCTCGGCTTGCAGGCAGGTCGCAGCTCAGCGGCGTGCTTGGGAAAGCGGGCAGCAGGCATGCAGGAGCAGCAGCGCACCTGCATGCCCAAGCCCGCGTCGGGCTGCCAGCTGGCCACCAGGCTGGCGCTGCTGTCGGCGTCCAGCTGCACGCTGTGCTGCGCCGACAGCAGCGTGCGCAGCCCCACCGCGCCGTGCACCTCCAGGCTGCTGTAGTCGGCAAAGTGGCGCTTGTAGCCGGCCAGGAAGCTGCCGCCCCCCACATTCTTGCGCACGTTGACCAGGCCTGAGCCGCCAGGCGGGCGGGGCAGGTGACGCGTGCGCCGGCAGCGGTTGGCTGATGCAGGAGGCTGGGGATTCCCATCATGCCGGCAGCAGCGCCCCCCAGGGCGCCCTCCGCCACACTTTGGCAGCAGCGGCAGGCAGCAGCGCACGTCAAAAGCAGGCCGGCGGGGAGGCGTGAGGGCAGCGGAAAGAGGCAGGCAGGCAGGCAGACGGCAGACAGGCAGGCGGCAGGCAGGCAAGGCAAGCGCTCACCTCCCAGGTGCGCCACATCCTGCTCCGACCCCAGCCACCCCCAATCCCGCGACTCCAGCGGCACATCCAACCCGCTGGTCATATAGATGCTGGTGAGCTCGGGAGTGCGCGCCACGCTGCGGGAGTAGGGCCGCACCAGCGCTGCAGCAGGCGGCAGCGCAACCGGCGGGCGGCGTCGAGGCCAGCCAGCCGCTCTCAACACTGGCCATCGGCGCATGCAACGCTGGGCTGAGGCCCCACCGCTCCTCCCCACCCAAAACCACCTCAACCCACTGCCTCCTCCCCAGTTCCGCACCGCCTCAGGAGCACCTCCCAACCCACCTGTGGCATCGGTCTTAAAGACATACACCCCGCGGTAGTTGACAGACGCCTCCAGAGCCTCCTTCTTCTGCTTCGTCTGGAACGCCTCCCACTCCGCGCGCAGCTCGTCCCGCGTCTTCAGCCGGTCGCCCACCTGTGGATGGTTGGTTGGGGCGCAGGGGGCAGTGGCGTGGGGCAGGGGTGGGGTAGGGGCAGGGAGGCGGGGAGGCCGCGCTGGCATTGCTGCTTGCAAGTCTGGGATGTGCGTGTGCATCTGCTGCCAAAGCAGCAACACCTGTGCCACAATCCGCCATCGCACCACCAGCCCAGTCAGAACACAGGCCCACCTCCAGCCCCGCGGTCAGCCCCTCCTTGCCGTAGACGTCGTAGATGTCGCGCTTCTGGGGGTCGCTCAGCACCTGCGGCGCACCACGGCAGCATGCATGCCAACCGACTGAACTGGGGGAGCGGGGCGGCGCGCAGCTGCATTCTGCTGTCCAATCAACTAAGTCAGGCAGCTTGATTCTTCACCGCAGCGAGTGTGGATGAGGCATACATGCACCCTCCCCTTCTAGCTACCTCGTAGGCTTCCTGGATGCGCGTGAAGAGGGTGGCCGCCTCGTCGTGGTGGGCGGTGTTGGCGACCTTATCAGGGTGCAGCGTCGTGGCCAGCTGCCGGTAGGCGCGCTTGATCTCATCCTCGGTGGCCGTCGGGGAGACCCCCAACAGGGCGTAATAAGACCTGCCCTCGCCTCCCTCACTGTCGGCAGACATTGCCGCTGGAAGGTGCTACTGCTGCGGCGGCAGGAGTGAGACTGTGGGCCTGTGTGCGATCGTGACAAGCTCTCCAAATGGCTCAGAGCCTCATTGCGTGCGTCATTGCGTGCGTCTTCGATCAAGCGACAGCCCGGATGAAACCCAGTGGTGGGGCGATGACCACGAAATCGGGCAATGCACCTGCCGATGCCTGATACCCGCGAGGCCCCAAAGGAGGAGCCTGAGGTGGAGGTACCGTGTACTGCCAGCAGCTTTTGGAACAGCCCCGCCAGCCGTTCAGGCCGCCTGCCCAGCTGCCCAATCACATGTGCACGTGCCAAAATCGAGGTCCACGCCCATTCCACCGCGGACCCCGCGAAAATCGTTGAGCAGGCAGGCGCAGCTGGCGATGCTGGGCCGCCCCTGACCTCGCCCTGGCGCCCATAGCTAACAGCAGGCGCAGCCCAATCAGCCGGCCAGGATGGGGCAGTGCCTGAGCGCGCCGGCCCACGACACGCCCGACCGCTTCAAGGTAGGCTGCTTTGGCGGGGGCGCGGAGCTCTGTGCTGGACGTTGACGTGCCTTGCATGCTCCAGGCAGGCGCCGCCGGGCTCCCATGGGAGATGGGGCCGACAGCTGAGTGTCGCCGCCGCCTGCTGCCGCAGGGGCGCTGGCAGCAGGGTGGCCTGGCCGACGGGCTGTCGGCCTTTGGTGGTCTGGGAGAGCCCGGCAAGCCAGCCTACACCACCACAGTAAGTGTGCATGCTCCGTGCACAGCCGGGAGCCTCTGGGTGCCGCCAGGCGGAAGCGCCCCGCCACCTCCCCACGCCTCCGTCACTTGCGCATCCCGCCTGCTGCGTGCTGCGCCTGCAGGCGGACGTGGGCCTAGGGCCCAAGGGCGACCAGTTTGGGTTCCTGCACGACAAGGCGCCCGCGCCGCTGCAGCTGGAGCGCATAGATGAGGATGCCACGCTGCAGGGTGAGAAGCGCATGGTGATGGATGGGGTTGGGGAGCGGGCAGGGCATGAGCTAGGGCGCAGGGATGGGGCCAGGCTGGGCTCTGTTGGTGGCTGCGAAGCTGGGAACTCTGCTGCTGACTGCTGTGTAGCACCCTCATCAACCAGGCAGGCGTGCGCCTGCGTCACCGTCCGCTGCTCGGGCACGCATGACGGCCGCCCGCCGCCGCTGCCCCGCGCAGGCGGCCCCGAGAGCTCGCCGCTGAAGCCGGCCTCCGCGGCGCCTGCGCCCGATGCGGCGGCGCGCGTGGCGCGCAAGCCCATCAACTGGACGCGCGGCGAGCTTGTGGGGCAGGGCGCCTTTGGCTCTGTGTTTGTGGCGATGGACAACGACACGGGGGAGCTGATTGCGGTGAAGCAGGTGGGTGGTGGGCCAGGGGAGCTGGCTGGGGTGGAGCAGGTGGCAGCGAACGCACATGCGCGCCCAGCCTGCCCCTTGCGGCGCCGCTGCGCGTGTCGTGCGCCAGCTGCAAGCCGCCAGCGCCTGCATGCATGCCGTGCATGCCTCGCGCATGCCGCATGCCCTGGCTCCCTCGCCATCCCTCGCCACGCGCCCGGCTGCGCTGCCCTCGCGCCGCGCCCCGCCCCGTGCAGGTGCACATCCCGCGCGGCGGCGGCGTGCACGCCAAGAAGGTGGAGGACAACATTCGGTCGGTGGAGGAGGAGGTGCAGCTGCTGCAGCAGTTTGACCACGACAACATCGTGCGCTACCTGGTGGGTGGGGTGGGGT